TTAGGGGAAGTTTTAGTAATTTTATAGAAGAGAGGAAAAAGATTGTAGGAATCAGAGGGGTCAAGGACACCACAAGAAAACCCACAGAGGCATATAACCTGGGCTCAGTAGGGTTCACGGAAATTGAACCAAAAACCAGGCAGCCTGCGTGGGACTGACCTAGGCACTTGGGATATATGTTATAGTTATATAGCTTGGCCCTCTTGTGAGACTACTCGCATGGGGACAGGAGCTCTCTCCTACTCTTTTGCAGGCTTTTGAGACTATCTTCCTTAAATTGGGTCTCCTTGCCTAGCCTTAATATATGGAGAGTTGCTTAGTCTTAAGGCAACTTGATATACCATGATTTTTTGTTACTCATGAGAGACTTGCCCTTTTCTAAACAGAAATGGAGAAGGAATGAAGGAGTTTGGGAGATACAAACAGAGTGGTGATAGAGGGATGAGACTGGGAAGAAAGAAGGGAGGGGAAACTGTGTCAGGGAAGTAAAATTAATTAATTAAAAATATAAAAAGTATAAAACATTATATTATTTTCTTTGTGATGGAGAAGTAGGTTCAATGAGCTTTTGCAATCAAAATAAAAGTCTGATGTATGTATGAAGGAAATTATGCAAACATGTTTATAAATATATTTTTTAAAATAATATTTTAAATACCATAGTTGTTTAATTTCTACTATACAATCAAGAATGTATTTGGTTATATAGTTAGGTTAGTTAGTAGCAGTAGTAGCCTTTGAAATAATCTGCTGATGCAAATATAAAGATTTTCATAACAAAATATTTTATTTGACTTTATTGATTGAAGGCAAATCTGAATTTATCAGCAAGAGGATTTATGTATATTTCATATTATTTAATTTTTTCATCTGTCTCATATACATGTAGTATAACATTTAAAATTTTATTATGGCATATTCATAGCTATAAGAATTTTTACTTGGAATATACCCAAGAGAGGCCTTATGATACAACTAAAGTATATGCTCTACTATATTCATAGCAGCATTGTTTGTAATAGCCAGAACCTGGAAACAACCTAGATGCCCTTCAATGGAAGAATGGATGAAGAAAGTATGGAATATATACATATTAGATTACTTCTCAGCAGTAAAAAACAAGGACTTCTTGAATTTTGCATGCAAATGGATGGAAATAGAAAACACTATCCTGAGTGAGGTAAGTCAGACCCAAAAAGAGGAACATGGGATGTACTCACTCATATTTGGTTTCTAGCCATAAAGGACATTGAACCTATAATTCGTGATCTTAGAGAAGCTAAATAAGAAGGTGGACCCAAAGAAAAATATATAGGCATCCTCCTGAATATTAACCTTCATCAGGCGATGAAAGGAGACAGAGACAGAGACCCACATTGGAGCACCGGACTGAAATCTCAAGGTCCAAATCAGGAGCAGAAGGAGAGAACACGAGCAAGGAACTCAGGACCATGAGGGGTACACCCACACGCTGAGACAATGGGGATGTTCTATCGGGAACTCACCAAGGCCAGCTGGCCTGGGTCTGAAAAAGCCTGGGATAAAACCAGACTCGCTGGACATAGCGGACAATGAGGACTGCTGAGAAGTCAAGAACAATGGCAATGGGTGCTTGATCCCACTGCACGTACTGGCTTTGTGGGAGCCTGGGCAGTTTGGATGCTCACCTTACTAGACCTGGACGGAGGTGGGTGGTCCTTGGACTTCCCACAGGGTAGGGAACCCTGATTGCTCTTTAGGCTGACGAGGGAGGGGGATTTGAATGGGGGAGGGGGAGGGAAAGGGGAGGCAGCGGCGGGGAAGAGACAAAAATCTTTATTAAATAAATAAATAAATTAACATCTTAAAAAAAGAATCAGATTAGGCATCTGGGGGAAAATGAATTTTTACTTGGCATTTTGAAGTAATTATGAAGGTCACTAAAAATAACCAAACTCGCTGGACAGAAAGGTCCTATTTGTCCTTTGCTCAACTCCTTCCCATGTTAACTACTTGCATAAGTAAAGTAAAACAAGAAAAACTGGAGTTGACATTTGGTACATTCACAGTGTGTGTGTGTGTGTGTGTGTGGTTTGTGTTATTTATCACACCTATAGCATCTTGTCATATAGTATAAAGACGGATTGTTTTCAGGATGATCATAGGGTCTTTTCTTGCTACCCTACCCAGGCTACATCACTCTTCCAAAATATATTACTCTATTTTTTCTCCAATTCAGTATTTTTCTTATTTCAAAAATGTTATACAAATGGAATCATATTAAATGTATCTTTTTGAGCTTGCCTTATAAAATCAGCATCATGTCATTGCGGGCCATCCAAGATGTATGTATTGATAGTTTGAACCTATTTAATATTGACTAGCATTCCAATAAATCAGATTTAGTCCTCTTTTCTAATTTTTTTTCATTTTTATTTTTATTGAGCTCTACATTTTTCTCCCTACCTCTCCCCTCCCCTTCAACCCTCTCCAAGGTCCCTATGCTCCCAATTTACTCAGGAGATCTTGTCTTTTTCTATGATGTGCATGTTTTCATAAGTGTATGCTGTGTGTGTAAACGTACCCTTGGAGGACAGAAGAAAGCACTGGACCCCCAGAACTAGAGCTATAGAGAGTTGTCAGCATGCTAACATTGGTGATGGAAACTGAACTGGTGTTATCTGTAAAAGCAACAGGTGCTATTAACCATTGAACTATTTTTGCATCCTCCAGTGATATGATATATTTGGCAATAAGTCTTTGAACAGTTATTAAGGAAATGTGAGATCAAATAGATTATGATAATTAAATGACTGATGCCCATACATGAAGAGACTTTTAGGAGACTGGATAAAGAGAAAAGACAATGTAGAGACATGGGAGAAGTTGTCCATGTGAAGACCTAGAAAACTATCTCAAGGTGGAATCAGTCCTTTTGATAACTTCTTACCTATGGCACTGTGAAAAAGAAATCACTTTTGTAGGTCATAGAGTTCATGGTGTTTGTTACAGCTGATATGGAAACTAACAAAGTGTATAAATTTAGTTTTATTTTTATAAATTTGTATTATATGTGTTTATTGATGTTTTCTGTTATAGCCTTATATATCCATAAATTTTCTAATTGCTTCTTAGAAGAGGCTTTAAATCTTTGTATCTTTTCTTTATCACTTTATTTAATATAATTATGTTTGAGAGAAATTAAAGACTCAAAAAGGCACAAGTGTTTTTGTCTGGTTGCATCAGAATGAAATTCTGTAGTGAAATAATGGATACACTTAATTAAACTTATCACATTTTAAGTCAGTTTAAGTACTTTCCATAACCTCATAAGGATATCATTTCAATGTGTGTATACTTGTGTGCATACATGCCTGCATGTGTGTGTGTACTTATCTCTGTTTGTGTGACTGTTTCTTCAAAGGGGTATAGTTTCATGGTTAAACATGTAAGCTGGGAACAGTATGTAGAAGCAGTGAGAAAGACCCCTGGATGGATCAAATAAGCATCCTCTACCTCTGGTGTGTCCCAAAGAAAAGCTGGACTGGATGTTAGTGGAGATAAAGCCATGATGAAGGATGAGCCACAGAGAAGATATCTGCAAGGCTGTATGCTATGCTAAACCTGTTCCTCCAAAGCCAGAACCAAAGCCTAAAATGGTGCCTGTGAAGCAGGGAGAGATGGTAAACGAGGGGAAGAGGAAGAAAGCTGATACTGGTAAGGATGTACATAATCCTGTAGAAAACAGAGAACAGACAAGAGACAGGAACAGACAAGGCACTGAAAGCTGAAGATGCCGGAGATGCCAAGTCAAATATGGTATTTTTATATCTGTGAAATTCTGGTGACTGTTCAGCTTGAGATACTATTTTATATCAACTTTTATAAAAATGCAGAATTTTGTTTTACTTTTCTCAAAGCTATGTTGTTAGCACACAGAACAATTCACTGCTTTTTGGGGGGTGCTGGGTCGTGTGTCACTAAATAAATGTCTCCCAAGCTGGATTAATGACAGAAAATGTCTTTCTCTGCCAATTTTGAAGGATACTGTTAGCTCTTAGTAGACAACCTGGTGTTGAAATATGTAGCCCCCATGACACAAAATGCCTTGTGGTGTGGAAAAACTAAATTCATTTTTATATCCTCCTCCTCCTGTACCATCAACATAGACTTAACACCATTAAAACCAGGGACCTGTTGGAACCTGACCTCCAAAATTGGTTTTGCTAGTCTTTTGAGTCTATTGGACAATCTATATTTTGTAGAGACAACATTGAGTGTCCTAGAGTGACAATTCCTTTTATAAAAGACTGTGATTTTCAGATTGATAATTATGCCATTTCTATCTAATTTTTTGAAAGTCAGTGTTGGCTTGTGTAAAGTTGTTAAACAACAACCTCATTGTGAAATGTTACCCCTAACTCTGACCTCTTCCTCCTTTTCAAAACATTTAATCAAGCATTAATCTGATTTTACAGTGGTTTTCTGATTTTGGTAGTCTACACAAGAAGGGAGTTTGGAAGTTGTTGTATACCATTAGTGATTGTTGACCCATGTCCTGCATGAAATACCATGATTGTTTATGGAAATTATCTTTAGTAAAGCTGGACCCATATAAAAAATATTAGCTGGACTGTTTTTAAAATACACATTAATTACAATTAAAATAATTGTATTATTTGTTTTATTTGATATTTAAAAAGGATGGTGGCAAAAGTGGACCAATCAAAAATCAGTGCATTTAGCGACATTTTATTTATAGCCAGCTTTCACTGTCAAAATTAAGTACACACTTATTAAGAAATATTGGTATTTGACTATATTTAAAAGACAAATAGCTATTACCAAGGAGCATTTTATCTTATCTGGCCGTACTGCTTAAGATATAACAAATCTCTTTCTTCGCCTTGAAAAGGAATGTAGTGTATTACATGAACATCACAACTAAACTGAATTCCAGCCTGACAGAGACATTAAGCATAATAAAAACAGATAAAAAAAAGACCAGCAAAGGGACTTACCATCTTGATCTGTGGTCACAGTAATAGCGGTGAACGGCTTGGGAGAAATGCTCAGCTCAGAAACTCCATTCATGGCTTCTATTTCAAAGGTGTAGTTGACATGAGACACAAAGTCAAGTACTATCACGGAATTGTTGATCAGTCCCGTGTGTCGTGGGATGAAGCGGAGTCCTCCGCCACAGTCCTCACACTGGCTGTTGTCTAAGCCACACTTCTTACAGATTACACTGTATGTGAGATCCTTCCTCCCTCCCGTGTCACTAGGTGGACTCCATTCCAAAATCAGGGCTGTTTCATTGATGTTAAAAGCCACATTTCTAGGAGCTGAGGGTGGCCCTGGAAAAAAAGCAATGAGAAAACAAAATGTACATGTATAGAACAAGGAATGGTGGTGCTACATTGAAATCTTCATGAATACATGCTGCTGATTTTTAACATTAGTTGGAGGTCATTTTCTTACAGGAACTATAATAAATTGTTTAAATATCTGATGATGTTAAAAGAGAAAGTCTTTGAGTGTTCAAATTCCAATATTTAATGTCAAAGTCCATGTATTTCCAAAGTATACTTTTAAGGTTTATTTGCTGTAAAATATGTAATGGATAGAAATTATAAATTATGAGATGGACATGCTGATAGCCTCGTTAATTATATTATCATTTTTACAATTTGAAACCAGCTGAGGTATGTATACTCAGCATACTGGATTCCTTTCTCCCTTCCTAATACTGTCAATATTTTATAGACAAAACACCCATCATTTTCTTTGTCAAATTCATAGAATCTATTTTCTAAAATTGAGAAAAAGCATCTTAAATTTTGGGTGGTCAAATTATTTAGAAATGAAAGCAAATAGAAATCAGAGACTGCAAAAAAACTTTTTCGCAGTGCCTTGTTAACTTGAAGCCATACACATGCATAAGGTCAAACCACTATATTTTTATTTAGATAATGTTCACTAAACACGAGTAACCTAGGTCTTAACTGTGAAAATGTCCCTAAAGAAGGCTCAGCCAAACCTCCCGTAATTGTCATCAAGGACACATTTTTCTAGTTTTCTATGGATATCACAACTCACATAGTACTCAACAGCTTTTTATTACCAATCATCTTGTACGCCAATCATCTTTATACTCAGGTGAGTCCTTCCCATCTCAGTTTTTCTCCATTCATTTAGAAATTATTAGCTGAGGGTCTCATCAGTGCCAAACTCTGTGTTAAGGGCTGTTTTAATACCATGGAATCTAGGTACTGAGAGAATATTGTTTACGAGACAAAAGTTGAAAAATAATAGTTTATACAAGTGCTAGAACAACCAACACTGTGTCACAACTTGGAAGATCAGTTTTAAGAAATCCAGAATAGTTCTTCACATTTCTTTTGTCAATAAAAACTGCTCAGTAGGTGAGGATTCTGCAATATTCTCTTAGAACAGAAATTGAAATCGTGATTTACACATCTTTTTAATATAAAGTTAGTCATTTGTTTATTAAATTAATACTTTAGTGACTACTATGTGACAGATATTAAGATAGATGTGATAGAAATAATTTCTGCTTCACTGCAGCTAATGTTTAGTAAAAAAAGGCAAGGAAAACACTTAGATTAATGGATTCAAATGATAGTAATTAGAATTTTAGAATGTTAACAGGCAGAAATTGAGGTAAAAAACTATCAGAAGGAACTTAAGTACTTCGTAGCAACAAAAGAAAGCACTGTAAGTGATAAGAAACCTGGTCATAGTATGGGAGGAATATTAGGGGTCAAAAGTATGTTGTTGTAGTAAAAAACTTTGAAAGTCATGGAACAGACGGGGATATAACTGGATTGAAAACCAGATTCATGAAGGATCCATGAAGTGAGTTGTAAGGACTAGCAAGGGGCGCCATAAATAACTCAGGATAGTTACAGTACCTAGAACAGCTAGAAATTTTCAAGTGTTCAACAGAAGGAATTGTGTAGGGGTGTGTGTGTGTGTGTGCATGTGTGTGCATGCACGCATGTGTGCATGCATGCATGCGTGTGTGTGCAGGCATAGTGCAAGTGTGTGTGTGTTTGTATGAAGGACATGCCACAGAATTCACATGGAGGTCAGACGACAAGCTTGAATGTCAGTTTTTACCTTTTATTTCTTTGAGACTTGATCTTTTCGATTTGTTTTTCAACTGGGTATAACTCACAAGTTTTTCAGTATTTTCCCTGTCTACTTTCTTTGTCTTTAGGGGAGCTAGGATTATAAAAGCTTCCTCTATGCATCTCCACTTCTATGTGGGTTCTATAGATTTTAACTCAGGCCCTCACAAAAAAGACCTTTCTATATAGTGAGCCATCTTCCCAGCCAGACTTGAAGGTTTTAAAGCATGGAAGAGATATGTTTTAAAAGCACATCAATGGAAAGCATGATGCATGAGTTGAGAAGGAGGGTATGGCAATATGATCTCCTACGTACTATTAACGAGCAGAATACATATCATAAATCTATGTGCGATACTAAGAAGTGTTGTCTGGCTGTTCTTTCCTCTTGTGCTGTTCTGATGTCAGTCACATATAGGCAGGATCTTCCAGAAACCCGTATTTCTATTACCTAACACTAGTTTTAGAAATGTGATGGGAATTTTTATTAAAGGTTGTTGAGTTTTTATTTTATGTCATTTCATGTATCATTGGGCTTCCTGCCTTTAGACAGGAAAATATGGAGAAACACAGGATCAAATGTGCGTTTTATCTTCCTCCTAAATTTATGCTTGGGAGATAAAAATTCATTTTTCTAATAATACCTTACTGTGACACATTCATATTGATGATTTTTCTCTTATTTATAATTAATGTGAATTATTATTCACACATACCTCCACAACTAGGAAACACTACCAATTATGTTATTGGTGTCCACAAGTATATAACTGTCTGCTGGACATATGTTAAAAACTTAAAAAGTAGAGGCACCCTTCTTATTCAAGGGCCCTCACACCAATTTGCATGGTGATTAAATAGCTTTTTAATTGCTGTTAAATTATGCCAGCTAAACTGTGATTTCATGCAAATATTAAGCTGTAATGACATGTCCTGAATCATTTACTAAGATTTAGAACTTGGAACCAAGAGAAACAATTAATTCTAATCCTCAGATTCAAATAAATTTTGTGTCACTGGGCTTTTCTGAATGTGGCCTGATTGTTTTTTTTATCATTTATAAATTATACAAAGCTTATATGACACCCTGAAAACATAACGTGGCAGCAATAATGCATTTAGAGATATTTGTATTGAAAACTCTTAGGGATTTCCTTATGATGATTTTTTTCTTTGGGAAAACAAATAACTCATATTGAATAGAAGACAATGCTTATCCTTGCCCTCCAGACTGACTTTATAATGAGAGCTCAATTATTCTGATCTGTAGCAGCATTTATCAGATCCACGATGTAAAAAGCGTACATTAAAACGAACTTCAGTTTTTGCTACACTTTCTACTAGTAATATTATTTTCAAATAGGTTCTCTACCCATAAACATCTTTTGCCTCAATTTGGGTTTTTTTCTTTACACTTTGAATGAATAAAAACCCAAAGTTCAAGCAAATTGCCAGAGACCCAGGACAGCCGTTTATTCTTTTCCACTTCCCCAGAAAGCATCAGGTTCCACAGATGTTGCTTCCTCTTATTCTGGGTATGTGATAGCTTTTTGTTTTATTATGGTTTATTCTCTTAAATGAAAATTGTTTTATATGTAGCTGTGTCTTTCAAAATATCTCTGTGCAATATATGAATTCCCAGATGATATCAAATAAAACCAAATTCAGTGTTCAAATGAGAGTCTTCTGGCCCATTGCCACTTGATCAAAAGTAATACAATTTGTTTTGCTGTGTTGATGCTAGCATTTCCTCAACATTGGTTCATTGAATCTTATAATCTAAAAAACATTTGCAGAAATACGAGAATTCTACAGAACGGTCTAAATCAATGGTTCTCAACCTTCCTATTGCTATGACCCTTTAATACAACTGTATTAATACAACTGAATGTTCCTCATGTTGTGGTAAACCCATTCATTGATTGTTTTCTTTGCTGCTTCATAACTGTAATTTTGCTATTATTATGAATCATAATGTAAACGTCTGTGTTATTTGATGCTTGTGGATGACACCTGTAAAACGGTCATTTGACTCCTAAAGAGATCGCAGGCCACAGGTTGAGAACCGCTAGTATGAATAAAGACTGACTGAGAAGTAAAGCGCGTTTAAGGATTATATTTCAACTTTTGTGCGATGTTTTGTTTCCATTTTTATTATAATATGTTTTCTTAAAAAGTCTTTTTTGAAAATATCTATCTAAATTATCATACATACAGCTAAAGATGGATTTAATTTTTATATTTTTAGGTTGTTGTTTCACTGGTTTTTTTTTTTTTTTTTTTTTTTTTTGAGACAAGGTTTCTCTGTGTTGCTTTGGAGTCAGTCCTGAAACTAACTCTAATAAACCAGACTGGCTTCTAACTCACAGAGATCTACCTGTCTCTGCCTCCCGAGTGCAGGCATTAAAGGCGTGCACCACCATGACCTGTTTACTTTTTGGTTGTTAATGGTAAAGAAAATTAGGCCAAAATGTTATGGTTAAATCTGAAATCTAAAGTCATGTGCTGCATGCTATGGTGCCAAACTCATTACTTGAAACTTAAATGAAGAAATAGGTCAATATGAATGTGTCCTTGAGGAGGATATTCAAAGTTTGGTCCTTTTATTGCTTTCCCTGGGTCCTTGCTGGCATGAGGTGAGCACTTGCTTCCCACACCCTTCCCACTTTGATGTTCTGCCTTGATGATGATCTGTCCTTATGATGACCTACAGAGTTAGATATATGAGAATAGAGACTGCAATTTATGACACCATGATCCAGGGTATCTTTTATCCATTTTCTAGTACTTAAGTTGCTACCCTATTTATTTTATTATATCCAAGGTATACAATAATACTAATTCCTAGCATCAAGCAAAATTTTCACATAGATGATGTTAAAAATGATAGATTAATATTTCAATGTTAATCTATATCAAATTAACATTAAAATAACCCACTTGATCTTCTAGAAATGATTAAGCAAATCTTTTGGTAAATGTGTTCTCACTGTGATTTCAATTAAATAAAGGTAAATGTATCAGGTCAGCCAAAAAGTGCAACTTTAGGCGTTAATAATATCCTAAGTTCTCAAATCTTTATACAGCCTTATGCTAAATCTTTAGAAGTCATACTGTCATCTCTCAATATTGATTCTGGCTTTTATAGACAGTTGCATTGTTAATTCAATGATAAGCCTAAATTTTTAAAGTATATTTAACAA